CGCCGGGCCCCCGGGCCCCGAGGGCCGCGAGTCGAGCAGGCGCCGCAGCTGGCGGCCCAGGCCGTCGGACGCGGGCTCGAGCGCCTGGCCGGCTGGGGACCGCGAGTCGATGACCAGGTCAGTGATGAGCTCGTCCAGCTGTTCGAGGCTGCGCTGGCGGCCAGAGGCGGGGCCGTCGGGGGCGGCAGACTGAGATTGGCGGGGGCGGCTCCCCGGCATCTCCCAGCTCCTGGCGGCCGGGCGCTCGGCGGCGCGCAGGTCGTTGTCGGTGATGGTGATCTCCGGTGTGACGTACCAGTTTCGGCTGGGGCCCTCCCCCGCACGGCCCTTCTCCGACAGCGACGTCTCGGACAAGGACAGCGCCGCGTAGCGTCGGGGCGAGGTGGACAGGTTCACGACGACGGGCGGGCGCCGGCCTTCAGGGGACGTGCCCCGCGGCTCCCGCGCCTCGTGGCCCAGGAGGTTCTCGTAGCTACGGCCACGGCCCAAGGGGTCTTCGCGGCGCGGCCCTGGTGCCAGGATGTTGTCCCAGGAGCGCGAGTAGTGGCGGCTGTCGGTCGCTAGCCGGGGTGGACTGGTGCCCGTGCCGCCGTGCCAGGAGGCAAGCAGCGGGCCGGGGTCCGGCGGGGGCGCCACCTGCAGCGTGCGGTAAGGCCGCGGCCCCCAGTCGCCCCAGGCTGGGCTGCCTCGCGGGTGTGGATAAGTCCGCGTCAGGGCTTCTCGATTGCGGTACCGCCCAAAGTCCTCAGTGTAAAACGCGCGGGCGGCGGGGCGGGCTCGAGGCTCCTCGGGGGCATAACGTGGGCCGCAGGGCGGGCCGTAGGCGCGGGGGGCTTCCCCGTAGTAGGAGCGGGAGGGAGGTTCCTGGACCGGGAAGGTGCGAACTTCCCCCGCGTAGTAGCCGCTCCCCCGTCTTGGACTGGGCCCCGGGGGCTCTTCGGGCAGAAAGGGCCTGGGATAGTAGCCGTCGAAGGGCGGCCCTGGGCTGGCCATGAAGCCCCCAGGGTGGCCCTCGGGTTCCTCCGTGTAGAAGAACTGGGTGGGCCCCGGCGGGGTGGTGAAGGGCACACTCCGGCGCTCGGCGTAGTCCCGGGGCCCGGGGAGCAGCCCGTCGCAGTACAGCGCCCGGGGGTCGGTGCAGTACGACTCACTGGGGGTGGGGGTGCGCGAGAGGGCCCCGTGGCGAGGCCCGGGCACCGTGAGGCCGTGGAGCTGCGGGGCGGCGCGGGGCCAGGGCGCGGTCTCGGGGGGCCCGCAGGGCCGCGAGCTCCGGGCGGCGTGCTGCAGCACCGCTTCGTCGGGCTTGATGTCCAGGCGGCAGCGGACGTGGGGGGCGGGCCCCGCGGGTGGCTCGACTGGCGCGCAGCGGTTGGCCGCAGCGCAGAGGGGCGCGATGCGGCCGGGGCCGCCCCGCTGCGGCTGTAGCTTGATGGGGTGCAGCTCGTTGGCGAGCGCGCGCAGCGCGGGGTACGCGGGCTCCCGGCGGGGCGACGCTTCGGCCCGCGCCGCTCGCTGCGCTTCTCGGCCTCGGCGCGGCAGCACGGGTGGTGAGGCGGGCGCGGGTGCCAGGCTCGGGGGCGCGCGGGGGGCGCTTTTGGAGCGGGCGCGGCGCCGGGTCTCGCCTTCGCGGGATCGGGCGCGGGGCGCGGCGGGCTCCGGGGGCGGCGCCTCCGGGCGGGCCTCCATGGTCGCCCCGTCCAGCGCCTCCAGGAAATCGAAGCTTCGACAGTGGCGCTTGTTGAAAGGCGCGGGCGCCGCAGGCCGGGCCATGGGGCGCTCACATGGCGGGGGCCTCGACACGGGCCCCGGGGCCGCCACCTTGATGTCCTGGTACACGGTCGACACCAGCAGGTCCGGTGGGTCGGTGCGGGTCATCTTAAAAGGAGTCTCCAGGCGTCAGCTCACTCGGCCTTTCGGGGCTTTCGCCCTGAGGGGAGATGCAGGTCAGGGCGGCCCCTCAGCAGCCCAGGCCCCGCTAACGCCCAGCGCTGGCCCGGCTTACCTGGGGCACAGCCCGGGAGGCAGCCAAGGCCTGCGGCCACAGGCACGTGTTCCATGCCGGCGTCAGAGGCACCTGCAGGGGAAGCCCGGCTGTCCAGCCGTTCGGGTCCTGCCCCCTCCTCCAGATCATCCTTTCTGGGCCACTTTCTGCTGGGAGGAGGTGGTTACCAGAAAGGGGATGTCATCGCAGCGGTCCCCGAACGCCTCTGCTCACTAGTGACCACTGGCAGGCTGGGGTTGACTCCCTTTTTGGGGACAGGCCAGTAGTGGGGTAGGAAGAGTGAGAGTGACCCCAGGACCACCCTACTGGTGCCCACAGTTGGAACAACTGTGTGCTCACTGGGGACCTTCACAGACTGCCTTAAGGTGTCAGCTCCTATAAAGCAGGTGATGAAGCCCCCTCCTAACGCCTAGTGCAGAGCAAGCCCCCCTCCCCCCGCTGCAGTCTGAAGCCCCTGGCCCCAGCCTTAAGCAATGTTAACCAGCCTCCTGCACCCCTCCGCCCCCCCCCTCAACTGGCAGGGCTGGACATGCAGCCGTCGTCCAGCGCTGTGTCAAGGCCCAGCGCAGAGGCCCCTGTGGGCCCTGAAGGAGCCCAGGCGTGGCACGGAGGCTCACGGGCTTGCTGCCCTGCCCTCTGTCTCCGTGTGGCTCTGGCCACAGCAGTGCTTCCGGAGATCATATCTGGGCCCCAAAGCTCCCTTTGCTTTGCAGGAGCCGCCTCTGACTCTCCCCCTTTTGGGGGTGGTTGAAACCCACCAAGCTCTTTGGGGCTGTCATGACAGGGCCGGGAGAGTGACCCCCCCCCATCTTTGCAGCGAGTGCACAGCAGCCGGAAACCAGGCCCTGGCTGCTGGACCACGTGGGGGTGTGTGAGCTCAAGGAGCTCAAGGCTGCCCCCAGGTCCCTGAGCGGCGCAGCAGGCCAGGAGGCTGCCAGCAGGGGAGGCAGGGCAGTGGGTGGATCGAGCCCCTGCCACCCGCTATTCTCAGGCAGGCCCTCCCCACAGCATCACGGGAGAGCTCCATGGAAACCTGAGGTTCCATGCCCCCGCATGCAGGCTGAGCTGGGGTCCACCCCTCTGTACCAGGCCCACGTTCAGACTTGAGCCACCGGCTTCTCTGGGTGCCCAGAGCCTGCACAGGCTGGGGATGGAGGGGAGGTGGCTCAGACATTAGTACAGGGTCTCCACCGCCTCACAGGCTGGGGGAGCATGCTCCAAGGTGAGCTTGGAAAAGCGGGGAGCTGGGCGCTCACCTGGCAGGACCTCTGGTCTGGCTGACCCTCTGTGTCCCTGGTGTGCCAGGGCTTTCCCGCCAGCAGAGCTGCCCCCCGGGTCAGGGCCACCCAGGCCCAGTGCTTGCCCCCCTCTCAGCCTCAGCTCCCCCGACCTGTCCCTGGTTTGCAGGCCCGTCCCCCTCCACCCCCTCCCACCCTGAAGCCAGGCCAGGACTGGGGGCTGGATGACAGGGTATGAGGCTCCGCCCCAGGGAGGTGACAGCCCGGCCTTGGCGCTGCCGCGGCCCCGAGGAGCCAGACTGGGCGACACCCCTTCCCTTGGGGATGGGACGGTCTGCCCCCGCCGGGGTCCCAGGCCTAAGGAGCCCGGCAGGTGGCCCTCCCCGGCGCGCTGCCCGGCCCAGCCCCGAGCCCCCGGTGGTGGGGACCGCCGTCCTCCGAGGGCGCAGCGTCCCCGTCCTCGTGGGCACCGCACTCACAGAAGATTCGCGGGGCAGCGGCCTGGACCCCTTACCTGGGCGGTGCTCCTGCACCGCGCCCGGCGGTCTGCGCAGGCCCGAGCGCGCTCCGCCGTCCCCCGCGCCGCCGCGGCCCCGGCACCGGCAGAAGCTTCGAGGCAGCGGCGCGAGGCTGCCGGCCCGCTCGGTGCTGCCCCCGATGGCGGCCGGCGGGACTGCACTTAAAGGGACCGCGCGGTGGGCCGGGGACCTGCGTGGCGCGCTGGCTCCTGCTTGGGGCCGAGCTGGGCGCGCGGTGAGGGGTTCTCTGCGCCCTCAGGTACAGGCCTGGAGTCCAGCGAGACCTAGGGCCGGGGAGTACCTGGCCCATCCTGCCCGCCCCCACCTTCCAGACACCTGCTGGAGGGCAGCTGGCATCCTGGCTGGCCTTGGAGGCAGCGCAAGTCCCAGCCGTGCTGCGGACAGCTCCCGGAATTCACGCCTGCGGCCGGCCTAGGCAGGAGCAGATGGGCAGCCCCACGCCCTGCTGGCCTCTGTGCTGCATGCCTGTCCTCGCCAAGGCCTCCCCGGGAGGACAGGCTTCTCTGCCCCCTGTGTCCGGCAGGTGGAGGCCCCATTGCCCTGATCGGGTGTGCACACCCTTGAACTGCATGGTGACACCTACGGGGCTGAGCCAGGACAGTCCAGCCTGGCAGATGGGCAGGGCACTGGTGCCTGCGGCTCCCAAGGGGCGGGGTCGGCCACGTTCCGGGCCTGTGAGCCGAGGGGCCCTGGGGCCAGTTCCAGGTCAGTCTGGTCCTCATGCTAGTGGGCACTACGAGGATAGCCAGCTGGGCTACAGAGCGCCCTTATGGGTCGGTGTGGTGCCCAGCCCTCGCTGGCCACCTGCATCCTGGGTGTGGGGCTCTCTAGGTACCAGAATTGGGGAGAGGGCGGCCTGCCCACCAGCCCCTCTTTGGCCTTAGAAGGCAGTCTGTACTCCGTCAGAGGGGACAGTACTCGGGCAACCGTGGGTGATGGGTGCGCCAGGGCCTTGCTCACGGCTGGAGGGGCCTGCAGGGCTGAGGTCAGTGCCAGGTGGGAGCAGGGCTGCATGGCTGCCCTCAGGGCGGCTGCCCTGGCCTGCCTGGACAGGGCACGGCGCGAGTGGGGCTGGGCCTGTCCGAGGCTTCCTACCCCGAGAGCAGTCACCTGGCGGGGGGAAAGGCCCCAAGGCCTGTAGGCAGGGAGCTCGGGACCTTCCTGCCCACCTACGCAGACCTGGGCGGTGCCCCCCAGGCAAGAGCAGCACACACACACGCGCGCAGTAAAACAGGAGAGCTTTATGGTCCACGTGGTGCGGAAGGACAGTGAAGGACACGAGTGTTGAGGGCCTCCTGCTCGGCCCACGCATGCCCGAGCTCAGGTGCAAAGCCGGACGCCGTGCCTGGGAAGAGCCGCCCCCACAGAGGCGCCAGCACTGCCTGACCTCGGCGCGCGGGGGTCCCGGAGTCTGGGGACAGAGGCCTGCAGTGCTGGCCAAGCCGCAGTGGGAAGCGGGGACGGCCCGCATGCAGCAGGCCAGGTGAGCGCGTGCGGCGGGCCGGGGGCGAGCTGGGGCTGGCGGGGACGCACCCCCCCTGTAAACAGCCTCACGGGCCTCCTTGGCCTGTCCCATCCCTGAGAAGCGCAGGGGGCCGGCTGCCCGCCGCCCCTCCCCATAGGGCAGGCCCAGCCCCCAGCGCACGGGGTGCCCGCGGTCGGCGGGGCGGGGCCTAGAGCGCCTCGTAGTCGCCGCCACCGCGGAGGGGGCCACCGGGCGCCCCGCCGCCCAAGAAGGCCTCCAGCTCGTCCAGGGCCGTTCTCTGCGGGCCCCGGGGCTGCCGCCGGCGCTCGTCCCTGCCCTTGTCGTCCGCCCGCTCCCGGGTCTTCTTATGCTTGCTCCTCCTCTTTGCCGCCTTGTCTTCCTCCTGCAAGGGCACAGCGCGGTCAGCGCGGTGGCGGGTGGAGCCGCCCCAGGGCACCCGGGGCCTCGGGGCACGGGTACCTCTTTGCCCTTTTTCTTCTTCTTCTTCTTCTCCTTCGCGGGGGGCCTGCCCTCCTTATCTGCAAAGGAGAGGTGGCGTTAGCGCCCCGGGCCCGAGGCCAGGCCTGCCCTGGGCTGCCAGGCCTGGCAGGGGAGGGCAGCCTGGGTTAAGCCAGGGGTGTGCAAGTCCTGTCTGAGCCAGGGTCCCCGGGTCCCCAGCGTGAGCACAGTCCAGAGCCAGCACCCAGCCCTTCCGTCTCTGCCCTGGGTCTGGGTGGGGCCTAGGCTGCTCCTGCAGACAGACGGGATGAGGAAGGCCCAGGGAGGCCCCAGGTGAGCTTCTAGGCTCCAGCTGTACAGAGGCGGCTAGGATGATGCCGGGACCTGGCGAGCCGGAGGCCGTGGGTCCCTCGCAGGCCCAGAGACCAGGCCCTCTCTCTGCCGAAGGCTTGGAAGCGCTCCCGCCCACTGCCCACGACAGCAGAGGCTTCCTATGTGGCCGCAGGTGAGGTGTTTGGGGAACTGGGAGTGGTCGGAGAACAGTGGGCGGGGCTGAGGACAGGGCTTGTGGCCCCGTGGTGACCTGCCTGCGGCCCCCTCGTCCCTGCTCCAGAGCCCCGGGTTCAGGGCCAGGGCGAGGTCAGCTGGCGCCTGGCAGGAGGGGGTGGGTGCACCGGTGCAGTTACCTTCCTCGCTGCTGTCCTTGCGGCCTGGTTCTTCCAGCCCCAGCCCGAAGAGGTCAGAGTCATCCTTCAGTCTGAAGGAGGGGGCCAGGGGCTTGGGGGGTGCGGGGGGCTGCACGGGGCCAGCTTCCTCATCAGTCAGGTCGGACAGGTCCTCTCGCACGGGGAACTCACCCTGGAAAGGCAGCAGGCGGGTCAGCCGCAGAACCCGGCCCCCCCACCTTGGCTGTCATGTGACCCCCCGCCCTGGGCCAGGGGCCCCCCAGTGACGTCGGCCTGCGTGTGGCAGCTGTGACATGGTAGCACCCCCCCAGCTGACCCCAGGGCAGGGTCAGCCGGGCCTGGTGTACATGGCACCCCATGGGGCTGCCCTGCAGGCCCCAGCTGGCTTGACTGGGCCCCCCAGCTGCCCTGGGCTTGCAGGCGGTGTGGGCGCCAGGCTGGTCCTCACCACTCTCCGCTGAGCGTCTGAGTCGCTCTCAAAGTCTGGGTCGTCCATGACGAAGGACAGCATCTGGGCAGCGATGGGCCCCTCTGTGTCACTCTCTGACGACGCTGGCTGGTCCGTGCCCTCCTCCAGCCCGCGAGAAGGTCCCTCAGGGCGGGCCTTGGTGCCGCCCGGCCGGCGGGGCTCTGCCGCCTGGGGAGCCGCATCCCGGGGTGGCCCCGCAGCCTTGGTGGAGGACCTGAGGACCCCGAGGAGCGTCAGGGAGCCCAGGTGGCTCCCCGCCTCCCCTCCTCCGTAGCTCTTCCCTTCCGCCCCCACACACCGTCCGGTCTCTGGCTCAGGGCACTTCCGGGGGGCGAGGACTGCGGCCTTGGGGTGCCCTGCCCCCTCCTCTGCCTCCTCCTCGCTGGGGGCGCAGCCCGTGGGTGGCAGGGGCCTGCTGGGAGGCTTGTCTTCAAGGTCCACGTCGTCCTGGAAACCTGCCACCATCGGGTTCCCTGCCGGGGTCTCCCCATCACTGCAGGGAGGGAGGGCAGTCAGAGGTCACTAGGAGGGCACAGAGCGTCCACTCTGGCCTCCAGGCCTGGGCCTTTGGGGCTGCTCCGCGCTGCGTGGATGCAGCCGCGGGGCACCGGCTGCCAGGGCGGCCTGGGGGTGGTTCTGTGGGGGGGCTGCCACGTGTGTGAGCGAGGCAGAGCTGGGGGGGCGGGTCTGAAGGGGACGGGGCGCTGGGAAGAGTGCCGAGCCTCCCGTGCGCCCGCCCCACCACAGGGAGAAGTGCACAGCGGCTCTCTGGCCCTGTGCTCCGGCCACCAGGCCCAGCCCGCGCTCTCAAGCAGCGCCAGCCCAGGGTCAGGTGGGGGGGTGGTGGTGGTGGTGGAATGCCTGCTGAGTTGCAAGCTGGAGAAGTCAGGCTATGGCGTGAAGCCGCGCTCCCTTCCTCCTCCGCGCACCCCTGCTCTATCCCAGCGCCCAGTGTAGATGGGCGTGTGTCCCCGGAGTCCATGCCCGATGGGCTGAGGGCCAGGCTGAGGATGGCCCCCGCTGCCTCCGGGCCCTGCCCTCACCTGTCGCTGTCCAAGGGGCCCCTGGCTCCCAGTCTTTTCTCGTCCTTGGCGGGGGCTGTGTCCTCCAGGAAGCTGCGGTCCAGGCTGTCTTCAGGAACGAAGTCCTCCACGTTCTGGACTTTTGCCGGGGCCTCTGTGGCTGGGGCTGGCTCTGGGGACAGCGGGCACCAGCTCGTGCTCTGATTCCCCCCAGGGCTGGACCATGAGTGGAATGGTGGGGCGGGGCTGCCTGCCCAGGAGGACAGGGGACTCTATCCCTCCTGGGGCCAGGGAGACACACAGGGCTTGTCCCCCTTGGGAAGCCTGGGCCCGCCTCTGGGCCTCCCTGGGGGTGGGGCCTACCTGGGGGTGGGGGGGCCGCCTCGGTTGCCGGCGCAGCCCCGAACAGCCGAGCGATGATGCCGCGTCGGAGAGGTGCGGTTGGTGGGGGTGGGGCCTCAGCTGGGGCAGGGGGCGCTGGGGGCGCCTGTGGAGCTGGCTGGGGCGTGCTAGGGCTGGAGCTCCCCGTGGACACTGCGCTCAGAGGCACCACGGGGGACTGGGAGCCAGAGGACGGGCTCTGTCCGTTGGTGGTCAGTGGGGACGCGTGGCCACGGCTGCGCGCCTCCATCATCTCCAGGAAGCTGCAGGGAACGGGAGGTGTGAGTGCCGCCTGCCCTGTGCAGGGAAACTGCCCTCCCCGCGTGAAGTCCCTGGAGCTGCTGTGCTGATGGCGACAGGGTCTCCGCCCCGGGGTCCTGGGCATCACCTCCCCCTGGCTGAGGATGCGGCGGCACGGAAGCCTGAGCAGGGCCTTCCTCTCAGGGGACAGGCTTTCAAACAGAAGGTTGGAGCGCAGAGCCGACATCCTCGCCTCTAGGCGGGTGTGTGGAGACGCGGTGGGGCAGGTAGCCTACCGGGTCTTGGCAGGGGCTGGAGTGGGAGCTGCTGCATCCTGGGGGCTGGCGGGGCACGGGCACCATGGGGGGGCTCCAGCTGCCCCCTCCCCATGGAACCTGATGCCCGAGTTCAGTTGGAGGAGACCTGGCAGGAGCTGGTCAGCCTTTGGGGGGTGGGGGCGGGTGTCCTCAGCAAGGCCAGCCTGACAGGGTGGGTGAAAACACCCCCACTGCGATGACCCCTGCCGCCCCCCTCTCCCTATATCAGAACCAGTAGCTGGATCTGGCTCCAGGGAGGCCCCAAAGCCCTCCCTGAGGCCCCGGGGGGGGGGGGGGGCGAGGAGATATGAGGGTCCCGCCAGAGCCTCAGCTGTGAGTGCAGGCGGGACAGCGGCTGCCCCGCCCCCAGAACACCCAGCAGAACACCGGAAGCATGGTTTGGGGGGAATTTGGGGCCAGGCCTTCCCCAGAGAAACGTGCCCACCCTGGGAGCTAACCCTGATCCTCAGGCACACAGGGCTGCCACATGCTCTGGGCGCCCAGGACGTGCCCTGTCGCGGGTCAAAGGAGTGCCTGCCAGGCCTGCTCCCCACAGGTCAGCCATCCCGCTGGATGCGCTCGGACAACACCTTGCCTCTGCTATTCAGGAGTCAGGAGGTTTGGGGCCCCCCCCCCACCGCCTTCCCAGGGGCAAGGAGCTATCTCCATGGGTGTCAGCTGGGAAGCCGACATCAAGTCGGGGACGGGGCCCGGCCAGCAAACAGGGCCAGCGGGCGTGCAAGGGCCTGGGGTGGACACGGGGCCGGTCAGTGGCGCCCTGGGCTGCAACCAGGTGGCCAGCAGCTGGGCCACTCTGGACAGAGGTGGGGGCCAGGCAGCTGGTGTCCACAGTCGTCAGGCCTGAGCACCCTCGCCCCCGAGACAGACGGCCACTCCATGTGCCCATCACACCCATCGCGACAGGTCCGGCTGGAAGTGCTCAGTGGGCGGGGCGGCAGAGCCTGCAAGCCCGACCTCCCATCCCAGGGGGGCTGGGGAAAAGTGGTTGTTTCGTCTGCTTCCCAAGAAGGGCTGAGGCCTGACTGCACCAAGGCCCAGGGCCTGGACCAACTCTGAGCTGAGGTGACTCGGTTTCTCTGAGCAGCAGCTCCTCACGCGGACACGTCCACGCGTGGTGGGAGGCACGCACACGTCGCCCACTGAGCAGAGCTGGGCTGGGGCGCGGCCTGGCCCAGTGTGCACCCGCCTTCCTGCAGAGCCTGCCTGTGGGTCTGAGCGCGAGCGCGGCCCGGCCGACGCATACATGTCATAGTTCTGGTCCTCGGTCTCCTGCTGCACGGACAGCTCCTCCAGTGTGGCGTCGATGTCCAGCTGGTTCGTCTCCAGCTGCCGCAGCAGCGTCTCCCTCTGCAGACAGGAAGCAGGAGGCTAAGCCGGGGCCGTCCCAGGGTGATCGCCCCTCGGCCTGGCGGCCCCCAATGGACAACGCCACCGCGGAGCTGGGAGCCCGCAGGGCCGCGCCCAGGGACCGGTGAGATACGTCGGTGGCTCCGTGGGGCGCCAGGGGCGGAGGTCGCGACGTGCCCGAAGCACCCGAGACAGTGCCCCGTTCACACAGGTGCCCTGAGGTTCGAGAAGCTCCAGCACTTGCTGAGACACATGCTCCGCGTCAGGACGGCTTCCACCTTCCACTCTGCCCACCACCACCCTTCGGTCCACGCTGGGGGTGTTTTCCTGCGACTATGCATGCTGAGCTCGGACAGGAAGCTCAAGGCACCCCTCAGGGTGACGCAGATCAACCCCCAGGTCCCCAGGGAAAGGGCAGGTAAGGGTGAGTGCCTGCTCCTGGCCTTCACGGGCCTTGTCTCTTCAGAGGGCGAGAGGAGAGGAAAGATGGCCGCTCTCGCTGGTGAGCTCTGCGCCCTTTCAGAGGAAGTGAGAGGCCCGGCGGCGGGAGCCACAGGCCTGCATCCCAGGGACGAACCGTGGGGTGATGTGATCTGTCACCTCCGGGGCCTCGCCTTGAAAGCCCACCACTGGTCTAAGGTCAGACCCCGAGCCAGACACCTGAGGGCCCACTGCAGCCTGCAGAGCTGTGACCGTGACGTGTGGGGCTGGGGGGAGGGCGGGGGCGAGCTGAGCCAGGGCACAGGAAGCCTCTGCCTTTTCTGTAAACCTAAGCGCATCCCCCAACAAAAGCGCGAGCGAGCCTCCAGGGAGGGCAGCCAGCCAGGTGGGGGAGGGCGGGGGCTTCTCAGCCCCTGCAGCTGTCGGCAGAGCGCCCAGGTCTGTGGCGGGGACAGCGGGGTGGCCGTGAGGGCTGGTGGCTGCCGCGGGCCATGGTGCCCAGAAGCACCCGCGCAGACACGCGGGGGCCCCACAGCGGGGCCTGTGGTTCCAGAACGGTCCAGCTCCCTAACCAGCCTCGGGCACCCCCACTGGTGGCTCCAAGCCCTGCCCCTGCTGGCGGCGCTCACCTGAAGCTGCAGGAAGGGGATGTTGAAGAACCTGTGCAGGTACTTGAGACCGAAGCTGTTCTTCATGGAGGACTCGGCGTAGCGAAAGTAAGAGGATCCTGGGGGCCTGTTCGCAAAAGAGCAAAGACAGGAGAGACTGAGGCAGCTGGGGCAGGCCCTCTGGGCTGAGGATGCACCCAGGCCAAGCTGTCCTGGGGGCAGCACCCCGGGGCGCTGGGTCGACCAGCAGGTGATGGGCCCACCGTCCCAGATGGAGACATTAGGTTCAGATGGCTTTGCTCAGCAGGGTGCCCTCTGGTGGACGCCCTGCCCCCGCAGAACCTCACTGCCCATCCCACCCATGCTCCCCAGGGGGCGACATTCCTGCTGCACCTGGGGCTGCTTGGTCCTGACCCCGACCAAGTCTGTCTCCAGGAGCAGCTGGAGGGGCGGCCAGGGTTCGGGCAGGGGTGGTGCAGCAGGTGTGTCCAGGGGGACAGGTGCATCAGGGGAGGGGGTGTTGCACGCACATCCAGGGGTGACAGGCGTGTCCTGGGGGGGGGGCACAGGTGCACCCAGAGGGCGGGCGTGTCTGGGGGCAGTTGTGGGCCCACCTGTCCAGGTGGTCGAGGACATTGCGCACGTCATCAGGCAGGATGACGCGGTGCTCGCCCATGTCGCGATAGTTCCCCAGCACGCACACGGGCACGTGGGTCGGCACCTTGGGCAGCTCCCGCAGGATGTAGTTGAAGGTCCTCGGGGGCACATGTGGGGAGAGACCTGCCTGAGCCTCCACCCAAGGAGGGCATGAGCGCGGCCTCAGAGGACCCCCCCCCCCAAGGGTGCACACCACGCACCCGGCAAGCCAGCCCGAGGAGGCGCCCTGTACCCGCGTGTCCCCAGGCCCGTCCGCACCCCCTGCGGGTGCTGTGTGCCCAGGCCAGCTTCAGGGGGCAGGGGGCCCTGGCGGTCCTGGCCTGGGGCCCACGTTCCTATCTCCTGAGTGGAATGCAAGCAGTGCCCACCCTCCCCGCCCCCCGACTAGCCCAGAGGCAGCGCTCTAACCCGGAGCTCGCCTGTTTCCGGCCGCTGTGCGTGCCCTGCGTGCTGAGCTGCCCGCCCGGAAACCCCGGGGCGACCCAGCGCCCTCCTCTGCGTGAAGGGGACAGCGCCTGCTGCCACCAGCCCAGGGCCACAGGAGCGGAGCTGAGCTGCGCTCCCGGGTGCTCTGTGTCCTGGGTCTGTGAAATACCCCGCACCGGGTCTCCAGGGTGGCCTCAGCCTCCCTGCCACCCCCTCCCCTGCCTGCAGCCTGAGGTGCAGGGACATCCACCCTGCCCGCCCGCTGCGGCTCCCCACGGGGCCCTCCTGGCCTCCAGTCACAGCTCATCCAGTTGAGGCCACAGGCACTTCAGCCGTGGTGACGGCGCACCTGGGGCCCGCGGGGCCGTGCCAGCGCCCGTGCTGCTCCCAGGAGGGGATGGCACCCCTGGCCCCCAGGGCGGGCACCCCCCCAGCCTGGCTGTGCCCAGAGGCAGAGCTGCTACTCCTGCAGGGGGTCCGGCCTCGAGCTCCAGGCCAGGCGGCGCCTCCTCCTGCTGAGCGCCCTGCCGCCGCTGGGGGCTGCTCACGTGTGGACTGGAGCCCCATCCTCCATGGCACTGAGCCCTCTGTCCCTGCAGGTGGGAGGGTGGGTCCCAAGGGTGCTGGCCAGGACTGGAGCTGTGCTGGACCCCAGGCTGAGCCGGTGAAGCCCGGCAGACTGTCCAGCTGTGGCATGGGAGGCACGGCAGCCGCGGGGAAGGCCGGGCTGCTCCAAGCATCCCCAGTTCTGCAGAGAGCCTCAGCTCCCTGCAGCATCTCAGGGCGGCGAGCAGACTTGACACTGCTGGCCTGGAAAGGCCTCTGGTAAGGCCGGCCCGAGTCACGCAGGGAGGATGCTCCTGTCAGCCACCAGCCCCCTGCCAGAGCCGGGGCCCTGGGCCTCCCCCCACGGGTGGTGCTGTCACACTCAGAGCCCCACACTCAGAGGGGTGAGGCCCCACCCACGAGAGCCCGTGTGGACATGGCCCTCGGGGCTGGCGGAGGGGGTCCCCACGCCTCTGCGTGCCGCCCGTTGCTCATCTTGCTCCTGAGCCGCAGCTGTGACGAGCCGCAGCGGTTCCTGTCGAGCCCAGGAACCTGGGATCTGGGGACCCCGGCGCACATGACCACTTGATGCTCTGCGTCTGAGACGTGTCTTTAGCAAGGGCTGCGTGCCTTCCCCGCCCCGGCCTGCTGTCCGGCACAGACGCGAGCACCCCACCCGGCCCCCTTCCAGACTGGAGTGCCCAGGTCGACAGCTCCACGAGGGTGAATGGACAGGGTGCTCCAGCCCAAGGCCGGCCCTGGAGCAGCGCTGGGCGGTCCTGGGGGTCACAGCACCCTCGCAGGCCAGCATCCTTACCACTGCTTGGTGATGTCAAACATCATGACCACCCCGTTGCAGTTCTTGTACACGTCCAGGAACTCGGCGTCCAGGGCCATCTCAGACTCCGCCTGCGGATGGGGAACAGAACCTCAGAGACAGGCCATGACTCACATGTGTACACCCGCTTCCTGGAGGAGGCTGAATACGTCTTTTAAACTGAAACAACATTAGCTCTTTTTGTTTTGGGGGAAAAAAGTCAACGCGAGGCTAACTGGCGTGGCCACACGGAGCCTGCCTGCAGGTGAGGGTCCCGCACTGCCTGCTGGCAGCGTCCTGAGCGCGGGGCTCACAGAGGCACCACCACGGCGACTAGTGAGCCCAACTGCATCCCAGACCTGAGGACGTAGCCCCAGAGAGCCTTCCAGAATCCACAACAGAGAGGCTTGTGGTGCTGGGGGCAGTGAAACATGCCCATGAAGGTCAGGGACCTGGGCTGGCGGTCACGGAACCTTCCGGCCCGCTGTTAGGAGGCCGTGCGTGGCCAGGAGGACGTGAACAGAAGGCCCTTGAAGCTGGCAGAGACCGTCATAGGTCAGGAGGCCTGCCAGTCAAGGGGGTCCTCATGGAGCCACCGCGGCCCACGCAGGCCTGGCTACACACGCAGGCGTGCCTGCGCCTTTACAGGCCGGGGCCTCGGTGCCAGGAGTGAAGTGTGACCTCTCCACCTGAACACCTCCCAGGTCACTGCAGCCGCAAGTGGGGTCTGGTGGCGGTCACAGGCGTGAGCTGCAGCTCAGGTCAGTCCGCCGCCCCACGCAACCCCAGGCTGCCAGGAGAGCCCGCTGCGTCCCTCCAGCGCCAGCAGATGCAGTCCTCAGGAAGGCCGGGCCAGGCGGGCAGAGGGGCTGAAGCGCAGGTGCCTGCTCATGACCGCCCCCTGAAGTTGGGCCACGTGAACGGACCAGCTCACCTCCTGGGGGTCGTTCTCCATCTTCAAGCCGTCGCCTCGCTTCTTGCATTTTCCTTAAGGAAAGACGGACACAGTTGCGGGGTGGAAGTGCTGTGCCCAAGACGGCGTGAGCGGGGGCGGCCCCTCCCTGTGCCCCCGGCCCCCAGCAGGGGCCTCACGCCCACGGGGCAGCGGAGGTCACGGCGCCCCATTGGACAGCACTGGGCGCTCGCCCCTCCCTGCAGACCCAGGAGCCGACGTCATGGCGGGCACAGAGTCCAGCCTTCGGCCAGCGCGCCTGCCCAGGAGCCGCTCAGAGGGAGGGAGCATAGCTGTTCTCAGCGGCAGGGTGAAGAGCCCGAAAGAGAAAAAGCAGGGTCACGACGGATGCGACTCACCTTTGTCAACTACATCCCAGACTTCAACTTTCACGATGTCGTCAGTGGCTGAAACGGGCAAACAATAGGATCAGCACCCAGTGTCAACCTGCGGCTCAGAGATGGGCCTCCAGGGCCGCGCAGACGTTCATGGTCCCCTGGGCGCCACCCCCAGGGCCCCTGCACAGCGGCAGGTGCGGTGTCGGGGACGCGCCTTCCCTGGAAGGCAGGCAGCAATCTGGACGTGTGCGCAGGTGACAGGACCCCTGGGTCCTAAAGGCACCCCTGGGGCAGGCTCACGCCCAGCCAGTGCCCCGCACCCCCAGCTGCTGCGGGAAGGCCTGGTCCCAGCGACTCCACAGCTGCTCTCCGGCAGCGGTGTCTAGGGGTTGCCAGCCTGGGGTGAGGTCTGGGGCACGTCCCCAGGTGGTCGGGGGGCTACCCACCTCCCCAGGATCCCATGGGGAAAGGGGAGAGACACGCGTACCACCCAGAGGAGGGACAGAGCCTTCACCCCAAAACGAGAAAGGGCACCCTTGGGGTGAGGCCCCGGTGCAGCCGGGGGGCAGGGCGACACTGCACCCACGTGGCTGCCGTGAACCGTGGCCTGGCGGTCGCCAGGAGGGAGTCAGCAGGCCCGCTGAGGCCTGGCGGTCCTGAGGTTGGCTCACAGGATTTGGTTTTTCGATGACAAGGAATGTTTAAAATGGCTCAAAGGCCTTTTACTGTCATGACTCCTGAGCACGCAGAGTGGCTCCTCTGCTCCCTGCAGGGTCCCAGCGGTCACCGACGCCCCCACGAGGGGGGGGGGGGGGCGCTATTCTGGTCATGCCTGGGCGGCCACCAGGCATGCTCTGCCCACCAGGTGATCCTGCCAGCAAACCCCTCTCAGGACCCTGCAGGGGTGGGGCGTCACAAGGGCCGCTGAGAGCTGGGCTCAGAGGACCGAGGCACCTGTCTGCTGAGGCTAGTGCAAGCTGAGGCCGGAACCGGCCCAGCCCGGACGGTCTGCCCCCTGACAGCCAGGGTCCAGCCCCGGCACTAATCCCCAAGTGGGCAAGTCTCCTACAGGAGCAGGGACTTCAGGGCGACCCCAAAGCAGCGTGTGTGGCGTCCCAGGGCTGACTCTACGCTGGGGGTGACGGGAGAGCCCCCCATTTCCCCACAGGCTGAGACTGCCCGACCCCAGGCTGGGGGTGACAGGAGAGCCCCCCACTTCCCCACAGGCTGAGCCTGCCAGACCCCAGGCTGGGGGTGACAGGAGAGCCCCCCACTTNCCCCCCATTTCCCCACAGGCTAAGACTGCCCGACCCCAGGCTGGGGGTGACAGGAGAGCCCCCCACTTCCCCACAGGCTGAGCCTGCCAGACCCCAGGCTGGGGGTGACAGGAGAGCCCCCCACTTCCCCACAGGCTGAGCCTGCCCGACCCCAGGCTGGGGATGACGGGAGAGCCCCCCACTTCCCCGCAGGCCGAGCCTGCCCGACCCCAGGCTGGGGGTGACGGGAGAGCCCCCCACTTCCCCACAGGCCGAGCCTGCCCGACCCCAGGCTGGCAGGGGGGTCACAGGAGGAGAGTCCCCCTCCTCCTGTCAGGCCACACCCACCCGACCCCAGGCTGGGGGTCCCAGGAGAGCCCCCACGCGGCGGGCCGCGCGCCCTCACTTTTGTAGCTCCAGTGGATGCTGGTGACCTGGATCTCCTGCGTGGGGATGTACTCCTCCACGAACTTCTTGCCCTGCAGCCGGTGCCACAGCGCCGTCTTGCCCGTGTTCCTGTCCCCGCGGATCACGATCTTCACTGGGAGAGCGCACAGGTCAGGCAAATAGTCAGAGCGAAAGGCAGCCTCCCGCCCCCGCGCGCGTGCAAGCACACCACCTGCACACGCGTGCCTCTGTGCCCGCGAGCAGGGAGCCCTGGGGAAAGAGGCAGCGGGCACAGGCTGGAGCGCGGGCAGCCCTGCCCTCCCGCAGGTCCCCAGGGCAGCTGACGGACACCTGGGAGGCCGCACTCAGGACGGCAGCCTCCGGGGCAGGCAGGGCTGTGAGCTCACCTCCACAGCCCCGCGTGTCCCACCGTCTGCCCTTAACCTACTTTCCCGCAGCCCTGGAGTCTTGGGTGCAGGATGCAGGGTTCCTCATGACCATACGTGGGGTGATGGCAGGAAGCCTGGATTCTACTTTGCTGCCCAGCCGCTATTTAGGAGAGGGGTGCTCACACACACACCTAGGATGACAGGGCGGGTTGGGGACAAGATGGGGACCTGTCTGCGGGGCAAGGTCCCCAAAGTGCCTCAGAGGAGTGGGCTTCCTGCCGCCTGCAGAGAAGGCAGGGGCTTGGCCTAAGACTTCCAGAGAGCTGGGGAGCTCGGCAGAGCCAGCGGGTCAGGGTGGAGCTGATGGACGTGGGTGGGTGGCTGGACCTCTGGGGAGGGACGCTGGGCAGCCTGCAGGGACGCGCTCTGGAGGCCACAGGCTAGGCTGGGGCAGCGTCTCTCTGGCTGGCACTGAGCGCCTGGCAGGTCTGGGCCTGGGGGCACAGACGCTGTATGTCTCACCCGGTCACTCTTTAGGGGGCTGTCTTCCAAGTTTTCAGCTGAGGGACAGGAAGTCACCCGTAACGTGTTATGTTCCAGGAGTGTGTGGCTGCAGGTATGTACTCTTTACCCTTCATGATACTGCTTTTTTCTTTTTAATTAATCTTGCCAGGCGCTCATCAACTTGGATCAGTCACGTGCACACAGCCTGTTTGTTTGGTTGAACGCCTCTGTTGATTCTTCTTAAAAATCCCTTGCTTCTGTTTTTCTCTTGTCACTTACTTCCCTTTATTTCCGTGAGGTTTATGCTGCTCTTTTTCCTGGCTTTTCAAGCTGTGTTCTCAGGTCGATGACCACAAGTATGTGGGACATACGTTATCCAGGAACTACAAAGACTTCTTCCACCCGTAAGTTACTTAAAGATGTTTCCAAGTTTCCCCTCAGAGCTGTGCTTTTTGTTGTTCCTAGTCAGTTCTACTCACTGTGGCCACAGACATGGGTTTTGTGGGACACGCACCCCGCTATCTGCGGGACCGCAGGGCTGTGGGCAGGTGCCCGCCATCCCACCGGGCCTCCGCCCGCTGGGCCGGTCATGTGCGCCGTGCCGAGTCTCAGCGCCCACAGCCCCAGCTCGAGGGGCCCCGCGGCTCAGCCTCCCTCTGGCGGTGTTCACCCACTGCTCGCTTCCAGCCCTTCTGTGCCACCGTGAGCGGGACGCCTCTCTGACACGTCACACACCACAAGGAAATCAAATCGCAATCTTCTTTCGCTGGTTGAGTCTGCATGTTCACCTTCCCTGCCTATTCACAATTTCCAGTCCCTGCAGAGGTTCCCTCCCGTTTCCTGCCTTTTCATGATGGGCAAGGTTTTGTAAATTCCTCTTTTTGCCTGGTATTTACTTGGAAGATTTGCAATTTATTTCTTTTCTTAAAGTTTTGACACACCTTTTCCACAGTAAAGTCTGAAGCTCATGTCCTCGCTTTCCACTTAAGCATCACTCTCCACTGGTCAACTCTGGGTTATGTGCTGACTGCGAGCCTTCTGGCTTCTCCTGTGCTCCCTGTTAGCCGTAAGGCTTGTTCACCCATCTCTGTGCCCTGCAAGCCTGCTGCACCCCCCAAGCTCACTGTCCATCTGCCTGGAGCGCACAGCCCAGGTTTCATCTCGGTAGGAGCCTTGGCACAGCCTGGCCCCCGCAGGCTGGAGGGCTGATCGGGTGTGCATTTCTAGGGCGACCGGGTCTTCCCCTCAGCGCCATCACTGCCAGCGTGTGCTCAGGCTCGCAGCCTCTGAAGGCGTTCTGTTTGCTCTGTTGCTTCTACGATCCTCCTCTTCAATTTCGCTGTCCTGAGGTTTCCACGATGCGTCCAGCTCTGGGGGTGTGAGAGCCCCAGCCTCAGGCTTCTTGGCGTTCCGCGTGCTCTGTGAGCCCCAGGAAACCCTGGCCTGCACTTCCCCAGTGACCGCCTCCTCTTCATCCTGCTCTCTCCTTCTGAGACCCCAATCACATGTGTGCAAGCCTGGCTCTCTTCTGAGCCTGCATCTCCCGGTTAGGTGCAAACGCCATCTTCAGTTGAAATATTACACCACGCCACCTAGCGGCTGGCTTCTTGTTTTAGTGATCATGCTTTTTCATTTCTGGAGGGTCTCTTTGGTTCTTTTTCAAACACAATTTTTCTGTTTAGACTCTTGATATACTCTTAGAACCGTCTCCTCCTTTTATATGTTTCTGGTCCCATCACTTTGTGGCAAACAGATGGGCAAACAGTGGAAACAGTGACAGACTTCATTTTTTTGGGCTCCAAAATCACTGTAGATGGTGACTTTAGCCATGAAATTAAAAGATGCTTGCTGCTTGGAAGAAAAGCTATGACCAACCTAGACAACATATTAAAAAGCAGAGACATTACTTTGCTGACAAAGGTCCGTTAGTCAAAGCCATGGTTTTTCCGGTTGTCACGTATGGATGTGAGAGTTGGACTATAACCAAAGCTGAGAGCTGAAGAATTGATGCTTTTGAACTGTGGTGTTGGAGAAGGCTCTTGAGAGTCCCTTGGACTGCAAGGAGATCCAACCAGTCCATCCTAAAGGAGATCAGTAAAAAAAGTAACTGATCTCTACTTCTAAGTTAAAAAGTCAAATCAATCTTAGAAACTTAGACATCCCTCAAATAAACTAAGTGATTCACTGAAAAACCTTTAATTAAGATTCACGCAAGAAGTGACAAGATGCCCTTACCTGAGAAGTGTGTGGACGTTTTACTGAACAGAACAGCTGCATTTCTATTCTGTGCCTTTTATTCTAAGGAAAGAACAGCAGCACAGACACAGGATCAGCTAAGGGCCCCAGAATCTACAGTAATTCCCTCAGACTGCCACACAGTGCCAGCCAAACAGGGAACCTTTTTTTTTTTTTTTAATACGAAAGAAAGCTTCCGGTTTATCCTGGATGGGGATGATGCATTCCCTCTGCAGGAGGCAGGACTGAAACCCAACGATGCCCTTTGGTGGTGTCACCAGCAGGGGTCGCTGGACAGCTGGCCACCTCCTTCCGGCGGCGCCTCCCAACACAGCCTCCAGGGCCTCCCTTCAGAGTCTCTGGGATGGGCGATGGCGGGAGGGCCATGAGGGCCCAAGGCCCCGTCACCCTCACTTCTTCGTCTTGGCCCCACGAGTCTCTCCTGACCTCACTCTGCTGCGACACGCCCTCGGCCCTTCTCCGTGAGGCCGGCTCTAACCTTCCCCTTAAAAGTCCCAATCTCAGGGCTCACCCTGCTCAATTTCTCGACCCTCCAGTCGGGTCATGTGGTTAACCCCTCACCATGTTTTGTGCCCACTGTCTGCCTTCCACCCCCACCTAAGGTGTAAGCCCCGGAACGCAGAGACTGTGGTCTGGGTTTTCACTGATGAATGCTTGGTAAATATTTGCTAAGCAGATGAAGGCCAGGGAAGGAGAACCTGGAAAGGAAACCGTGGCAGACGTCACAGGCAGCCAAGGCTCGGGGATCTGCAAATCAGCCCTGCTGGGGCGGGTCAAACAGTCTGCCAAACACAGCTGTTCATTTCTGAAAGGAAAAGCTCCCTTACCTGGTGACCAACCTCTCAAAGCTTTCTTCAGTTCTAGCACTGAAATCTGACTGGCCAGGGCTCTGGCTGTCCCAACACCTAGAGGTTTTCTTGGTGAGGAATGCAGTCCCGAGCAAGGACTCAGAATCCACAAGAGTGGTGTGTCCTCACTCCACCAAACACAGCTGGCCACCCGGTCCACCAGGAGCAGAAAGAGCAGGCGGCTCAGGGAGCATCCTGCCACTTCATGTGTGGATGGCTTCTGATCCACGATGTGGGCCCGTGTCTCACTTGGGTTCTGATTCTAAATCTGATGTGTATGCTGGGACTCTGTGCCTGTGAGTCACTTCTCAGCATCACAGCAATTTACATGAAAATGACTTATCTGCCGCAGGAGTAAAAAGTTCTGTAAGAGCTCTTACCTATAAAATCCTGAGTCCATAGTTATCAAACGGCTGGTGTGCTTCCTTAAGTAGGATGTTTTGGAAAATAAATACTAGAAATGTTCTTTCCTACTGACTAATACAGGAAATAAAAAAGTCTGAGAAGTGCGTATTGGCCCACGACAGGCAGCATCAGCCTGAAACGTCACACAGGCATGGGGCTCAGTTTCTCTCAGCCGCGCTGCACTTCACTCCCTCTGCTCCACATCAGAAGCTGCTGCCACGTGCCCCCCATACCTGAAGGGGGGTCTCTTCCCTCTAAGGACTCCAGTGCCCGTTCTGCTTCTGACCCACCCCCCCAACCCCAACCAGGGGGCGTGTCCACCAGGGAGGACTTTTCAGAGGTGAATATTTTCCAGGCCAGTTTCCAAAGGAGTAAGACTAAGTTTTAACAAATAATACCATAACTAATAAAATTAAGCAGAGACATTACTTTGCTAACAAAGGTCCGTCTAGTCAAGGCTATGGTTTTTCCAGTAGTCATGTATGGATGTGAGAGTTGGACTATAAAGAAAGCTGAGAGCTGAAGAAGGATTGATGCTTTTGAGCTGGGGTGTTGGAGAAGACTCTTGAGAGTCCCCTGGACTGCAAGGAGATCCAACCAGTCCATCCTAAAGGAGATCAGTCCTGGGTGTTCATTGGAAGGACTGATGTTGAAGCTGAAGCACCAATACTTTGGCCACCTGATGTGAAGAGATGACTTATTTGAAAAGACCCTGATGCTGGGAAAGATTGAGGGTGGGAGGAGAAGAGGACGACAGGATGAGATGGCTGGATGGCATCAACAACTCAATGGACATGAGTCTGAGTAAACTCCGGGAGTTGGTGATGAACAGGGAGGCCTGGTGTGCTGCAGTCCATGGGGTCGCAAACAGTCAGACATGACTGAGCAACTGAACTGAACTGAATAAAATTAAATAACGGGAACCAAATGTGAATTATAAAGACGTGTGAAAATGAGTTTTTTAAAAGAAATATTTATTTACTTTTGGCTGTGTCAGGTCCTATCTGTGGTGCACAGGCTGTTTTTGTGGCACTGGCTTCTGGCTATGGTTGTGGCCCGTGGGCTTAGTTGCTCCTGGGCATGTGGGATCTTAGTTTCCTGACCAGGGATCAAACCCGTGTCCCCTGTATTGGAAGGTGGATGCTTAATCCACTGAACCACCAGGGAAGTCCCTGAAAATGAGTATTTTGATTTACTATTCTCTTCTGGGAATGTGAGAGGATTACACACAAAATTGGGTAGAATACATGCAAAACGATTCCTCTTTTAAACTCAAAATCTTTCCAATCAGTTTCTTAATATGGCACATTGTTAACTGAAATACAGGGGTCATCACAGAGCCGAGCAGGCTCCTCTGAAAGTCGGAAATGGGGGAATGTCTGATATTTTGTAGCAATATACCGAAATGCTTAAGAGGGAAACGACTTAGAAGCAGAGAACACATTAAAACAAAAACAACTTCAAATACAGCTACTGCAAAGCCAGCATGATGGAAAAACTTTAAAGAGGCCAAGAGGGCAGGCAGCATCTCGGAGCGAAACAGTTTTACATAATTTATAGCTGAGGACTGGAGACATCTGGGCTGTCAGGGCATCGGGTAAGGAACTCCTCCTTCCCACAGGAGAAGAGAAGTCTCTGCAGTAACAAGAGTCTGTTCCTTCTGGGGCTCTTCTAAATATATCTCTTACAAATACTTCTTTTTAAAAAAGGAGAGCAAGAACGAGCGGCGCAGCTGACATTCTCTCTTCAAACTGAATACCAAGTCTACAGAGAAAAACCCCGTAGGTCAAACTAGCAGGCCAGCGGAGTCCTCCGCTCCGTCCTCTTGCGGGTGGCCGCACGGCTCACGGGTGGAGAGCCCGCCACCTCTTTAAGACCGAGTCACAGAACGCAGACTCGCCCGCGTTATGTAAGAACCCCTCTCAGACGGGGTCACCTGGGCCAGTCAGGGTGTCGTAGACGCACCCGGAGCGGCCCGGACCAACCGCACCGTGCACACGGGACGCACAACTGTCACCCCCGGGCCAGCATTCCTGGGGAATGACCCACAGGTCAGACGGGATAGCCGCGGGCCGAGGCGCCCGGCCCCCGGGCCTGGGGTCCTCTGGGCCCTCGTCGCCGGTCCGCATCACTTCCCGACCCCAAGGAAGCGCCCCGGGCCCCCCCGCCAACCAAGCAGGCACAGGCAAGGGCTCAGCTAGCCGAAACGCAGACCGCAAGGCCCTCGGGGTGCGACGAGTCCCCAAGCGCTTCCCGGGCCGGAGGCTACCCAGATTTAGCGAGTCCTCGGCGGCACGGCCGGGCCCCTACCCTCCCCACACGCCCCGCAGGCGCCCCCGCGCCGGGCCGCACTCACTGTTGTACTGCACCCCCTTGGCGAAGCGCCTCTGCAGCGCCTGGTTCATGGACTGCAGCCCGGCCGGGATGTTCCTGTCGCGGCCCGGCGCCTGCTCCGACCCCACCAGCTTCTTGAGCGCGGAGAACATCTTCCTGCTCCCACGTCCGAGCCTGGTACGGCCCGCGAGCTCAGCGGCGGCGGCGGCGCGGCGCTAGTCGCACCATGTCCCGTGTTCCGGCGGGCAGACGCCGGCCTGCAGGGCGGCTCGGGGGCTCAGCTGCGGAGGCACCGCTCCGGCCCCCACGGCCCCCGGCGCGGCCGCTCTGTGCTCGTCAGTGCCGCCATCTTGGCGTCGGCTCAGCGGGGCGCGCAGCTACGGGGCACCACGAGGGTCACGGGAGAGCGGCGCGCGTGCGCAAAGCGCTGCGGGCGTGGGGGCGTGCGGATACGAGGCGCCGCGAGGATCACGGGAGTGCGGCGCGCGAGGTGCGCAGCTACGGGGCGCCGCGAGGGTCATTGGAGTGCGGCGCGCGAGGTGAGGATGCGCAGGACGCTGCAGGCGAGGGGCGCGCGGGTACCGGGCATCGCGAGGGTTACGGGAGGGCGGCGCGGTGCAGGCAAAGGGCCTCGGACTCTGCAATCCCGCCTTACGAGTTGTCCCCCGGATTTCAGCTAAGTCCGGATCCCCGTCCGCGCCCCCGCCTGGACCCCACTACTCACCCTCGCCCCTGAACCCCAGGGCCCAGATCCACACCGAACATCCCACTTCCCTGCAGACTTCCCAACGCGATGCCCCGCATCCGCGTCCCGTCGGCCCCCCGGAGTCCTGGAAAAATGTTTATTTGTGTAACCAATGCAAGCGTGGGGGCGGGGTGTGGGGCAGGGCGGCCTCCTCCTCCGGTCACTTCTTCTTCTTCTTGGCCACCTTGAGCTTCTCCTCGATCAGCCGCTGACCCTGCTTCTTGATCTCGGCCCGCGAGGGCACATAGCTGTGGTCCACGTCGGCGAACTGGAAGGTTTCTGCAAGGGAGGACGGGGAGGGCAGCCGCGCCCACAGCCCTGCCTGCGTCCCCAGATCCTGGGCTGTCCTCTGGCATCCTTTCACGGCAGAGCCCATTGTACCAACGACCTGTATTTCTTACTCTCTGTCTGGCGTTCGGGGTCTCGCACACCCGGGGAGAGAGACAGCCCAGGGTTCACCCAGTCCTTCCAGAGCCCACAGTCGACCGCTAATATCTACCCTATACGCCAAGCCTGAATCCCGCAGGGCCAGGTGCCAGACAAGATGGGGACAGCCCCGAGGCCCCAAACGCGCCAGAATTATTAGACTGGGAGGATCTTAAGCTGTGTGCCCTGCCTTGCCCTTCCCACACAGACCCCCACAGGGGCCCTGACTTAGGCCTCCCCCTGCCTGCCTACTGGCACTGGTGCCTTCCCATCACCTCCATCAATTAAAATCCCGCTGGTACAGCTGATGCAGCCTCCCCATTGCTTTAGCCCCTACTGTCCCTCCAGGCCACCTGGTCAGATGCAGCAAGCGCCACCCCTAGCCCCTGCCTCTGCACAGCTCAGGCCAGCCACCTGCTCCCGCCTCCCCTCCAGCTGCTGGGCCGCCTGTACCTATGACGTCCTCCTCCATCTCCTCAAAGCTGATCCTGGTGTTCTGCTTCTCCTTCAGGGTGGAGGACTCCAGCGCATCCCTCACCTTGGTGTTGACCTGCAGGGCACCGGGCCGGTGAGCCTTAGGGCAGGTGGGGTGTGCAGGCACCCCCAGCCCAGGGCTACCTCCTCCGTCCCGGCCAGGATCTGCACTTGGTCAGCCAGGTACAGCAGCCTCCCCTCGCAGTACGCCAGCTTGCTGTACATGTCCAGGGTGGTCGAGGGCGCTGCTTCCTTCTGTAGCGGGGAGGAACCAGTTTTCTCGCCCTGGCCCCTCACAGGGACCCCCTGTGCTGGGGGCTCCTCCCGGCTCCGTTGGTACCTGGCCCGTGGGCAGGGGGATGCCCATCAGGCGGATGTAGAGGTTGTCGATGCCGGTCTCGATGGTCAGCAGTAGCTTCTGACTCTTGGTCATGTTGCTGTGAGCCAGCTGCAGCCGGTCTTCCTCCTCCTTCAGCATATCACTCATTTTCTTCTCAACAGACTTAAAGCTGTTGAGGATGAGGGCGGGAGGTGGTGGACCGAGGGCACGGCGGCGGGGTCCTGAGCGAGTGCTGCGCTAATTTGGGCTCAAGAGCTAAGATGTGGGCATGGGGGGCGCCCCTGTCAGGCCCCGAGGCAGCGGGTCTGCTCAACTCCAAGCCTGGCGCCAGCCACCAGGCTGTCGGTATGGAGAGAGGCGGGACCCCCGGGTACCTGACGGAGCTGGGCGTCTGGCGGAACTTGAGCATGGCCTCCTCTATCTCCAGCTTCTTCATCAAGGCCTCCAGCTGCGCCCGCTTCTCCTCACAGTCCTCCATCTGCAGCTCCAGGTCCTCCTCCGTGCTCTTCTGAGCCAGGAACCGGCCAGCAATGTCCTGGCAGGGCCAGTGGGGTGAGCAGCCACTGTGAGCCAGGGGGCAGGTGGTTCTTCTGGCTCCCAGTGGTCAGTAATGTCAACCGTGGTGGTGTGTTGAGGGCCTGCGAGGCCCTCAGTGTGTGTTCTTGCATGCTACCCTCACGACAGGCAGAACGGGCAGACGACCCCAACAAAGAGTTGGAGAGATCACCACCAAGAGACCAAGTGGCTCTGAGTCCCTTGTCCAAGGATGGACAAGCTTATGTCAGGACCATGGACAGGAGCTCAAGGTTTACTAATAATAATCCCAGAGCGGATTAAAGTAAAAGGGGGGTTAGGTGGAGAGGCAGCTGCTGTTGGTTTGGGAAGGGGAAGGAGTTGGAGGTGGAGGCCACCCCCTCGAGGTTTAATCCTCAAATTCCCGCGGGCTCTGTGTGACCCTGGACCACAGCCAGGTTTGCCATCCGCGTCCCGGGAGGCCCTCCACTCTGATCTGCGGCCGCTGCTTTGTGTGTTCATTCAGGCGAAGGTGTCTGCAGAGCCTGGCTGGGCTCAGCTGGGCCTTGGGCTGGGGACGGGCCCCTCTCCCTGCCCCTCTGCCCACATCTAGGAGTCCGTGAGTAGTACCCAGAGGTGGGAGCACTGCACAGCAGTCTTGACCTTCTCCACCAGAGCAGTCACGTTCGTCTGGTATTCGACGTCAGCCTTGGAGGCCTCTCTCCTCTTCACTGGGCGTAGCAGAGGGGAAGGACGGCCAGCATGCAGGGAGGGCGTGGGAGCTCTGTGTGGGCCGTCAGATGCCCCTCCCACATCCTCAGGGGAGGCCCCCCAAGAGCTGAGTACCCTTCAGAGTCGCCTCTATCTTAACTGGCTCCCTCCTCGGCCAGCCCTCGAGCGGCTCCATCCAGAGGAGGACCAGAAGCAGCTGGCACAGCGGGGCTTAGTAGAGCTTCTCAGGGGGGCTTGGGTTCTGGGCGGGCATTGCTGAGTGCATTTTACAGCTGAGAGGCGGGGTGCGGTGGTGGGGTTAGCCACACCTGGCTGAGAGCCCAGAGCCAGTGGCAGCACCCTGAAGTGAGTGCTGTGGCCATTGGTGCGCCCCTATGCAGGTCCCACCAGGGAGGGGTTGGGGTTTATCGGTCTCCCTCACCCTGGCCACTGCAGGTGACACCTGGCCTCATGGTGACCGACCTCTCCTGACCTTGGCTGGGGCTGTGGGAGCTGAGCACTTACCTTTCAGAGTTTCTGGACCCATCAGGTTGGAGGGGAAGTCCAAGTCCTGCCGGCCCTGGAGAGAGGGAGGAGGCATGGTGAGGGGAGTCCTCTGTGGGGCTGAGGAGCGCTGGGGGTCCCAGAGGGCGGTGCCCGGACAGGCTGGCTCACCCGGCGGTACTTCTCGCTGGTCTCCTTGGTGTGGATCTTGTCGATCAGCTTCTTCTGCTGGTTCAGCCGGTTCTCTCGTGCCCGGCGCTCCTCGATGAAGGTGGCCTCCCCTTGACTCATGTTCATCTGGGGACGTGGGGAAGGGGCGGGTCTGTCCCACTAAGGCCATGTGGGGCACTAAGCCAGTGTCTTCCTGATCTGGGATGCTGCACCTGTGTCCCCTCTTGGTCTCTGAGCCCTCCCTTGCATTACACTCACTGCTCCGCCTGGGGCCGCCCTGCCGCCTCTGCCAGCTCCCCTTCAGCTCAGTTCAGTCCTCAGTCGTGTCTGACTCTCTGCGACCCCATGGACTGCAGCACACCAGGCTTCCCTGTCCATCACCAACTCCCGGAGCTTGCTCAAACTCATGTCCATCAAGTTGGTGATGCCACCCAACCATCTCATCCTCTGTCACCCCCTTCTCCTCCCGCCTTCAGTCTTTCCCAGCATCAGGGTCTTTTCTAGTGAGTCAGTTCTTTGCATCAGGTGGCCAAAGTATCAGAGCTTCAGCTTCAGCATCAGTCCTTCCAATGAATATTCAGGATTGATTTCCTTTAGGGTTGATTGGTTTGATCTCCATGCTGTCCAGGGGACTCTCAAGAGTCTTCTCCAACACCACAGTTCAGAAGCATCAATTCTTCGGCGCTCAGCTTTCTTTATGGTCCAGCTCTCACATTCATACATGAGTACTGGGAAAACCATAGCTTTGACCAGATGGACCTTTGGCGCACATCCTTCTACTCTGCCATCTTGTAGACCTTGCTAGCTCCCCTTAGAACTCACTAAAGTGGATTCCATGTGTCTAAACAAAAGCTCATCATCTTTCCCCAAACCGCCTCTTTCCCAGCACGTCTGGCTTTGGCGGCTAAATCTGCTGCCCGTCCATGCCTGCTCACACGTCCCGGACGCTGCCCTCTCCCTTGGCCTGCACATCTAACTCCCCCTACTCCTCATCAGGGCGGCTTCTTAAAGGCCTCAAGTCCATCTTCATCACATGGAGTCTGGCCCACGTGACTAGCATCTCGACCCTGGTCCTCCGATCTCTGCAGTCAGAGCGCACCCATTTGGAAACATGAGTCTGATCCTTTGTCCCCTCCATCTTCTCCCAGGGCTCCAGGTTCCCTGGGGGGGCTACCTGCTGCCCCCACAGGCTCCAGCCCCCATGGCTTCTTTTGGCCCTGTTATACCCCAAGACTGTGTTGCCCAATCTCCACCCCCAGAACCCGCTTGTGCACTGCCCCCCCCCCCGCCCTGATCAGGTCTGCACCCCAGGGCAGCTCTGCTTCATGAAGAGGGGTACACTGGCCTTTCAGGGGCCTCAGCATAGATGGGGTGAAGGGGTGACACCTGCCCTGGCCAGGCCAAATCTCTGCCCCTTTGGTCTTCCTGGATTCTGTGTCTGGTGGGACCCCGTCTGCCCAGACTCATGGGGGATGAGAGAGCAGGCTGGCAGGGCAGCCACTGGACTCCTCCAGTGATGGCAGGGTGTGGGCAGGGGTGTCCGGGTGGGCCCTGGGCCAGACAGGTTTGCAAGACAGCTCTGCAGGGCCCCAGCCTGGGAGCTCACCTTGACCTCATCCGTAATCATCATGGCATCCTTGGACATGACTGTCATGTCTGACAGCTCCATGCAATAGTCGGCCACGAGATTCTGCAGCTTGTCCAACTCTGTAGGGTATCCTGCCAGCTTCTGCAGTGCAAGGGCAGGGGGGCACAGTGCCTGACAGCCCAGGAGCCGCGGGGCCCGTCCCAGGTCGGCTTCCCTGGCCCCTTCCTGATTCTCCTCTGTCCCCCAGAGTGGACCACGCCTGCTCTCCACTCCTCACCCCAGACCATGTGAACCCAGAGGACAAGTAGGGCGTGGCCTTTGGCTCCAGCTGGGCCCAAAGCAGGTTAAAGGAAGGTTTGGAGAGGGAAAATGGCATCCTGCTGGTGGACTTTGTCCCTGCCCAGGGCCAGAACCCAGAGACACTTCCTAGGAAGTTGTGATGGGGAGTCCGGCCACCTGAGAGGTGCCCCTGGAGCCCCGGGAGGCTGACTGCTCACTGAAGTGAAGTAGATGTAGATGGTGTGGGGTCAGACTCAGGACTCAGGGCCAAGGCTAACCTGACCAGCTAGCGCAGGACCGTAGGAAAGCCACTTATCCTGAGTTTTCCTGAGCATAACAAGGTAATAATGGCTCTTTCAAGGGGTTGCTGCCAGGATGGATTGAGACGGTAGAATGATGTATTATTTAACACAGAGTCAGGTTCCCAAATGTCCAAGACATCTTAGCTTTTAGTATTTTGTTGTTGATTACTATGTAGACTCTCCACTGTTTTTAAAAATTTATTTTTAAAGAATATATAGTGTCTTTAATGTCCACTTTTATTTTGGGGGGGGGTGCCATGCGGCATGTGGGATCTTAGTTCCCTGACCAGGGATCGAACAGGTGCCCCTGCATTGGGGGCTTGGAGTCTTAACCACTGGACTCCCAGAAAGGTTTTTTTTTTTTTTTAATGGACATGGGGACTACCCTGGCGGTCCAGTGATTGAGACACCAGGCTTCCACTGGAGGAGGCACAGGTTTGATCCCTAGTCAAGGAACTAAGATCGCAAATGCTGTGCCATGCAACCAACAAAAAATGCAGGTGGCCACGGGAGTTATTGTTTTTAATGCGTATGTTCTAGAAAGGCAAGAGGGACCACTGGGAGGATAGAATGCATCCAGATGACGAGGGGTCCTGTCCTCCTCCCGTCTTCCGGCCGTCTGGCTTGTGGCAGGTGCCTGCGCTCTGCTCTGTGGGGGCCTGGGGGGCCTCCAGTGAAGGGGGGTTGCCTCTTAGGAGGGCTCAAGGCCCCTCAGCCTCCCCCTGCCTCCTCGGCAGGGAGCCTGGGGCTGGCTCGGAAGAAGTGGGCGGCAAGCCCAGGCTGCTGGCCCGCGCAGAGGCGGCTAGCCCTGGATGATGTTAGGGGACTTCCTGAGTATGCTGCATTTGCCTCTTGCCCCCAGAAGCTGGGCAATGAAAAACGATGGGGCAAACGCAAAAATTCTGACGTAGCACATGACACACCTTTTCTGAGTAGAAAATAACAAATTCTTTCCCACCTACAAGGTGCCACTGCTCAGCTGACGCCCAAAGCAGGGCTCTCTTTCTCGGGGTCACTTAGGCTCCAGGAGAGGTGTAAAGCTGCGGGGGGAGGGTGCCCTGCCCTGGAGGACCCCGCCGCCACGGAGGTCCCAGTCCTGCACACAGCCTGGGGCCTGAGATTCCCGCCCTTCAAACCCCGTTAGGCTCCCTGGAACCAGGATGCGGGGTGAGGGGAGCTCACCTTTTTCAGGTGATCCAGCAGGTCCATGTACAGGAAGTGGATATTTTGGCTTGTGGTGATCTTGATCGTCGTCTTTTCTATGTTGTTCTCCAGCTGACGGATGACCTGGGGTTGGGGGGTGGAGGGCACATTGAGAGTGCCTTTCGGGACAGGCCGACTGGGAGCCCAGAGGCTCACGGGGGCGGGGCTGGTCTCTCTTCCAAGGGGAGGAGCCTCACCTAGCCCGCCTAGTCTCACCCACCTCTCCAGGGCCCCGCCCCCGGAGGCCCCGCCCCGCACCATTCTAGGCCCCGCCCCCTTCTCAGCCCCGCCCCTCGGCCGCACCTGAGCCCCGCCCGCCGCCGCACCTGCCGCAGGCGCAGCTCCTCCTTGGTGGCGTCTGGCTGGCTCTTCAGGCCGGCCAGCTCCAGCTGCATACTCTCCAGCTTCCGGCCGCGCCGCCGCACCAAGTGGATCAGCACGTTGTGCACGTTCACGCGGTCGAAAACATACTTGCGCAGCTTCTCCCGCGCCACCTGCGTCGGGGAGGGCACGACCCGCTAGTGGGTGCGCGGGGGGCCACGGAGCCCGTCGGGAGTGTCAGAGAATGTGTGACAGGGGGATTCCTACATGCTGTCTCCCATGAGTCCTCTGTCCCTCTTCAAGCGGAGCAGCACGCTGCTCCCAGGGACTGAGGTCACTGTGTGAGGCAGGCTTGGGTCTCCTTTAGTAAACATTCTCTTTAGGACAAAACTGCTTAGTCTCGTTCCCCTTTCTTGAGATATGGATTGTGTCCTGACCTTGTGACTAACATTACCCCTTGTTCCCTTGGTAACGGTTGCTGTACGTTTGGTTTTCTGATCTCTATTATTCCCCAAAGAAGTTTCTTGTACTGCAGCCTATATATACTCATAGAAAAATCATTAAAGCACCTTTGCTTCATTAGAGCTTAGTTCCCCGGGTCTTTTTTGTCTCTCTCTCTCTTTTTCTGGCTGACTCTGGAGCGTGGAGACCCGTTGTGCTCACTTTTCTGCCCGGGCTTCTAAGACCCCCTCGAGAGGGCGCCTGGTGCCTTCGTGAGCGATGCAAGTCCTGTGTCAAGGGCTTTATTGGTCCTCTGCGTAAACCAAGGGATATCAGCCTCTTTCTCTCTTTCACTTTCTTATCGTCGACTCCGTATCACAATGTTCCGGTCCATTAAAGGACCCCAACAGGGAGGAGCCTGTGGCCGCCCCACAGGGACCCTGTGGCTGGGCACTCGCTCCGCTCCCCACCGGCTCCACCTTGTAGTATAGTTGGGGGTGCACCGGCTGGGCCGGGCGGAGGGGCTGTCCCGCCGCCTACCTCCATGGTGCAGCGGCTGTTGGCCAGCCTCATGGGCACGTCCTTCCCACAGGCCCTGGAGATGGTCCACTGGTCGTACTGCGGAGCGGCGGCGGCTGAGCTGGGGGCTCACCCCCTCTGCGTTCACCCGGCCACCGGCCCCTCCAGGCCCTCTCCCCGGGACCCTTCTGCGCAGCAAGACCCCAGCTCCTGGGGCTACAAGGGGCAGAGCGCTGCAGGCCCCATCGGCTCATGCCCGCTCGGATATGATGGGGTCCAGAGAGGAGGGTTCCCGTGTCCCCTAGGTGGCTGCCGCAGGGGGTAGCCTCAGAAAGGGCCCCTAATTGGGTCCAGGCCCCACCCCCTGAGGTTGGTGGTGGGGTCAGCGTGGGGAAAGCAGGGGCCGGCTGTCCATCTGTGTTGGGGGGAGGGGCTGCTTCAGCGCGCGCGCCCCCCGCGCCCAGCCATCAGGCAGCAGGAGGAGCCCCGTGTCCACCTTCTTGGCCGAAGCCCACTCCTGGGACTTGCGGCGGATGTTGCTGCGCAGGTGAGCCAGCGTGGCCTTGTTCTTGACTGTCTTCTCCTTCACCGACTGGATCTGCAGCGCCCGACATTGGTCTGTGGGCGGGGGAGGGGCAGGGCAGTGGGATGTGGGCCGACGGCCCGGCCTGGATTCCCGGGTGGTGCAGAGTGGGGGCATGAGCTTGCTGCCTCTAAGCCCATGCACCTTCCTCCCAGCCTGCATGGGGGCCCACTTCTCTGTCCAGCGGTGCTCATCTGGACAGCGTTCAGGGCACAGTGTTGCTGGGTGGGTGGGGTGGGTGGGGCGGTGGAAGTCAGGATGGGCAGGCCTGTCATCACTCCCAGACGCTCCTGTCCCCTCTGGCGTTGGGCCCACTATACTCACAAATCTCTCTGAAGCCCCCAGCTTCTCCAGCCCCTTCCCATCGCAGACCCTTCCCATCCATTCTCCCAGCTCTGCTCGCGGGTGAGCAGTGGCATGGCCCCTAGCCAGTTTGCCCTGGCCTGTCTTAGGGCCAACAGTCCTGCACCTGGAGCCCCCGGTCACCCGGCAGCAGACGCACCCTGGAGCCGAGTGATGGTCTTCAGCTCCTGGATCTGCTCCTCCATCTCCGCCTCATTGCGGATCTTCATGGCGGCCCCTGGGTCCTTCAGGGCCCCTCCGCGCCACCCACCCTGTCTGTGCTGAGCCTGCCCCGCAGAACCTCAGTTCAGAGTGTCCCTGGAATCCTGGCCCATTGTGATGGGGACCAAGGTTCTGAGTGCCCAGGGAACCCAGGAATTCCCGGGCCTCCCTGGTGACCCCATCCTCTGCCCCCAGGCAGCCTCAGGGTTGTTCCCCCAGACAGGAGTCTCCCTGCTGCTCTCTGCTCAGGAGTGCTGCCCTGGTCAGGGTCGCTGTTTTCTGCAGGGTGACCTGTGGTGGTTTCACACTGCACCCCCCACTGGCCCCACTGCACCACCCCCGTCCTCCCCACACCCCCACGGTCCTCCATGGAGCATCGACAAACCGCCAACCTCTCACTGCCTACAGGGTCTCCTCACACCACCCCAAGTTCAAACCACACCCTGGGGACCCGGCTCGTGAGACCCCCAACGTCAGCCCTCACTACCCCACATCTCTTAATGACCTTCCCTGCTCGACCCCTGTCGGGGTCCAGCCCTAGCTGGATCCAGGGGAACCCTCAGGATGAACGGCGTTGGCGAGAGAGAGACACATAGGACCGGCCTTGATAGGGCCAAGTCTGCTAGGGAGAGAGAGAGAGAGAGAAAGAAAGAGACCAGACCAGGAAGCTGCGGCAGAGTCTGGCAGTTGCTTTATTTTTCACCATCTCCTTTATGCCCTAAGTTGGTTCATTTCTAAGGGGCAGATAAGCACACAGACTTGGTTTAATGTTACATCAGCTTGTCCTTCACGAAACCAGGCATGCTCTGTATATTTTTATTTATGAGAGTCTTTTCCCGTAGATTTTTGTACATTATCTTCTGGCCTTGAGCTCAGCAGGAAACAGAACAGTGGCGGTCTCATGGTACAGCAAGTTGTAACATAATAGAAATACAATCCTGTTGACATAAAAGCCAGTCTTTTTGCAGAAATTCTCAGCTAAATGTATCTAAAAAGTTTAACACACAAAGACTCTGTGGCTCTGGTGAGGCAGCCCCTGTTTAGCACTCCTGGTTAAAATTAACAATTATCTTATCGTTTTTACACTAGGGCCAAACTCTTATTTTACTAGATCTCCAACTATATTAACAATAGTTTCCACTGCACAACCTCAGCACATTAACATCAATCAAACGTTGATCTAATAACAACTTTTAAAACTATTTTTTTTGTATTCTCTAATAGGGCTTCCTCACCCCCCAAAGGGCTCTGTGCCTACTAGGGCCTTTTTAATGGTTAATCTCTATGTATAATATCTTTTGGCTTTCAGGCCTGTTGACAATTTATGGCTTGCACCTGGTGCAACTTCAAGCAACTTCAGTAGCTGACACTGTCTTTTTTGTGGTTAATCTATTTTCTTTCTATTAGGTGTCATCTCTATGGGAACTAGATAGGATTATATTTTTACAGAACAGAAATGTAAAGGATTGCAGAAACAGCAGATATGGCACAAAACAGGCTCTTAGTCTAAAAGTTAACTACCTGCAAGAAGTCGCCAGCTAATTCTCTATCTGAACTATTTTCTATTAGGCACATATGTGGCTATAATATTTGTGGAGCTTTTCCCACCCCGCGAAGGGGCCTATGCTTAATAGCTTCTTTTGTTAGCGTACTGTGCTTAGGATGTTTAGAACAATCATGAGCATTTTCTGCAATAGGAGCACACATATGCCAAACAAGCTAGAGTGCCAGCAAAAGGGTTTGAATTGAAGCATTCCCTTCATCCTTGGCCCCTTCATAGGGTACCAGCATCTAGGAGATTTATTAATTGGGGTTTTAAGTTGGCCCTCATTCAGTGAAAGAGGAGCAGGAGAGCTCTCGGCAGGCAACACAAGAATCTGCAGCAGGGCGAACAAGACCAACAGCAGAAAAGCGGGGAGGATGCAGGGTGGGGTAGAGGCCGAGGCCAACCTGGAGGCTCCCTCATCCTAGACGGCCTTGCCTGTCAGGTTTTTTCCTGGTGACCTCGTCATGGACGGGGTCCCGGACGGCCTTGCCTGCCCAGTGTTTTCTTCACGACCTCGTCACGGGCAGGACCTCCCATAACGGGTCCCGGCAGACCCCCACTTCCCTGGCGAAGCCCTGGATCTGGTTTCAGCTTGCACTCACTCCAGAGATAAGTCTGGCCTCCAGGGTGGCTCAGGTGGTAAAGAATCCGCCCACAGTGCAGGAGACCTGAGTTCGATCCCTGGGTGGGGATGATCCCCTGGAGGAGGGCATGGCAACTCACTTCAGTATTCTTGCCTGGAGAATCCCCGTGGACAGAGGAGTCTGGTGGGCTACAGTCCATGGCGTTGCGAAGAGTTGGACACACAGTGATTTTCAACCACTTCACCTGACTACCTACAGGAGGGGCCAGTGCCCTCCTTCTGCACCCCCAGCCCAAGGCTGCCTTAGAGCCACGTGGCTCAAGCCTGGGGTTCCAGGGGGTGCGCACCAGCTGGGGTACTTTTCCCAACATGCAGGAGTTTGCCAGGGCTGCCGAAACAAAGCACCACAGACCCGGCAGCTCAAACAACAGGAATTTATTGTCGTGCAACCTGGAGGCTGGCAGTCTGAGATCAAGGTGTCGCGGGGCCGGCTTCTGCTGAGGCCTCTCCCCCAGGCTGGTAGATGCCGCCTTCCTGCTGTGTACTCATGGGGTCCTTACCTTGGACTCTCTGGGTCCCAACCGACTCTGATAAGCACACCAGTCTGACGGGATGAGGGCCCATCCCCGTTTAACTTAGTTACCCCTTTAAAGAAGGCTGAGCACCAAAGAAAGCTTTCAAACTGTGGTGCTGGAGAAAATTCTTGAGAGTCCCTTGGACTGCAAGATCAAACCAGTCAAACCCAAAGGAAATCAACCCTGAATATTCACTGGAAGGACTGATGCTGAAGCTGAAACTCCAATACTTTAGCAACCTGGTGTGAAGAGCTGACTGATTGGAAAAGACCCTGATGCTGGGAAAGATTGAGGGCAAGAGGAAAAAGGGGGATAACAGAGGATGAGATGGGTGGATGGCATCACCAACTCATTGAACATGAGTTTGAGCAAACTCTGGGAGATGGTGAAGGACAGGGAGGCCTGGCATGCTACTGTCCATGGTGTTGCAAGGAGTCGGACACGACTGAGCAACTGGTAACAGCCCCTCTAAAGGGCGGGTCTCTAGATGCGGTCACACCCTGAGGTCCTGGGGCAGGGCTGCACACTTGTGAGCCTGGGGGAGACGATTCAGCCACAGCAGTGGCCTCACCCGTGTGCTGCTGCAGCTCGCATCTTCTTCTGTGACCTCTCACACAGGCCCTTTTCCATTCCGCTCCCTCTCTGTTTTCAGTTCCATCTGAAACTCCAGGTTCATCCTCTGCCCCCCCGAGCCCAGGTCTTACCCTCAGGAAGGACCTGCCATGGGCACGGTCTACTCCTTCGCTGCCCCTCTTCTCCCTGGGGTGATGCAGAGCCTGTTCCCTGATACTGGTTCGCCTCTCCTCAGATAGAGAACCCAAGCTTTAGGGGGACACATGCTGCCCGGAGCAAGGCCGCCGTCCTAGGGGCCTTTGCACTAGGTGTCTCTCCTGACTTAGTTCTAGCCCATGGAGTGAACACAGGAGTGGCGAGTGAATCACTCTCCTCTCCCTTTCTCCTTCCTCTTCACAGGGATGCAGGCACGATGGCTGGAGCTGGTATGGCTGCTTGGCACCATGAGATAGGTTTGGAATGGGGGCCCTTACAGCAGAGAGCACAGTAAGAGGAGCCTGGGCTCCTGACTCCCTGTTGGCCCCTGGCCACCCACTTGGGCTTCTACACGAAAGAAAACGCAAACTCTAGCTGACTTATGCCATGGTTACCATTTTGCCTTCCTACACACAGATTCCTTGGTACACATAAGTGTGCAATAGATGTTCTTTTGAGTGACGGGCCAGGCCAGCAGGGCGGGGCTGGGCCTGGAGCATCGAGAACCTGGGAGGTGCACCTTCAGTGTTCCGGAGGAGCCTGCTGGAAAGGACGACGGCTCTGTCCAGGCTTCGGGTCATCTCTTCCGCTCCCTCTCCCTCTGTGGGCTGTGGCTGAGCTGGACAACCCTGCCCACTCAGGAGCCTTCCTCCGTGTGGACAGAGCTCCAGTCAGCTGGCTCTGGTTCCCTGCACCCCTCACTTTGTCCTCCTGCCAGAGAAAAGTGACTGAATCTGACAGTTGGGTTGGAATGGTAGGCAGCTGGGTGTGGTCACTTCCTGCCCTCCTCTCCTGAAAGCCAGATGTTGTTTGGCTGCACACACCTGCTCTGTGCCCCCCCGCCCCAGCCCTCGTGAAAAGCATGTGCGGCGCCCCAGATGTCTAATTCTGGGGTTCAGATTCAGAACTGCCCTGGTGCCTCCTTCCGTCAGCGGTGTGGTTCCAAGGAGATGTTTCTGTCATCTTCTTACTGCTCTGACTTGTTCCCTGACTGCTTTAGAACTTAGGTGGGAAACAGGACAAGGTGTTTATTAGTTCCCCAGCCCCCGGGGGAACTGTCATCTCTGACTGGCATGGGTGGGGGATGCAGGGCCAGAAAGGGAGTGTCAGTGGCAGAGTGCAGAAGCCCCTCCCTGCCCCAGGGCCGCCCCCAAAGGCATGCTGGTCCTCCCCAGTGCTGTGTCCACCTGCAGGAGGACAGCCGCCCCAGGAACAGAGGCTCCTGGCTTGAGCTCCTGGGCAGTCAGGCTGGGCAGGAGCAGTCTGCACAGGTTCAACAGACCTGGTCATGCCTGTGTGCGGGGGCCACGGGTGCGAGGAGGGCCAACCTAGGGTACAGAGGGGCCGAGGGCTGTGTTCTAGAACTGTCTGGCCCCAGGTCTCCGGTGCCCCGGCTGGAGTGCTCCTAGCTACGCCGATCTGTAGGAAGCAGAGAAGACAGCTAGAACCACACCCCAAAGCTGATCCCAGTCCCTGTGCCCATTTTCTGGAGGCAAAAACTGAGGCTTGGAACAGGAGGGGTGCAGGCAGTGGGGGCCAGACCTGAGATCAGCCAGCCTGGTGTCCGACGCAGGGCCTTTCCATCCAGCCGCTCTTTTGGGGTGTCTGCCCTCCTCCCTCTGCACTCACTCCCCCAGGGCCACCCACCCCCTCCTGCGTCCGCCTCCTGCACATGGGCCCTCTCCTTCCCGTCTGCGCCCCTCGTGCGCATGTCAAGGGGACAGGCCTGTGCAGCCTGGGCTTGCTGCCTCCAGCTCTGGGCACTGGCGCCTCGGTTCTGCGTCCCACTGCCCTGGGGACTCTCACCTGTGTGCATGTCTCTGGGGAGCTGCCCTGTCTCCAGGAAGAGCCAGAGGTCGCTGCATTTCTGCGACTCTACGCGGGTCACCCAGTAGCTGGCCACTGAGCCTGCGACTGGGGAGCAGGGGTCAGGGGTCAGTGGGATGGGCATGCCCAGAACCACAGCCACCCACCCCTAGTGGGAACCCACTTCTGCTGAAGAGCCAGCGGCAACTGGGGTGCATTTCAGGGGTCCCAGGCTGGAGTACCCACCCACAGCCACCAGCACCTTCCACTGAAAGGGGCATGGAAGCTTCCTCTGGACCAGCATCTGCAGGCCGAAGGTCGCACCGGTGCCTGCCAAGAGCCACGGTCCCCATCAGCCAGCTTGTCCGCAGGGCTGGCCAGGGGACCACCGCGGCAGAGCCGGCGCGCCCGCAGCACCTGCCAGGCTCCCAGCACTGCGGGCTGGTGACCTGGCGCCACTTGCTGGGGAGTCAGGGTTTGACCTCACACCCTGGACCCAGCCTACCTGTGACAAAGGTGGAAACGCCCTTCACGAAAGCGTTCGACTGGCACGCGGCGTACTCACCTAGTCCCTGGGATGGAAAAGGGGTTGAAGTCTCAGTTCCCTGCCCCTCCTGTCCCTCTCTAGGGCGCACTCCGGCCCCGGGGGAGGGGACCACTCATCGTGAGGCCCTGGGACCCAGACACACCGCACCTGCCCCCGTGCCCCCGCAGGCGGCAGGCCTCCACCACCACCGCAAGAGGGTCCCACGCCTCTGTCCCTCTTCGCCTCCCTGAGGAAGGTACTCCCACCAAGGCCCCCGCCCCGCTCAGGTCAGCTTCTGAGGTCGGGGCCCGCGTCCAGGCCGGCCTTCTCACCGGGTGCTTGCTGGCCACGGCGTCGTCCACCCGGGACAGGCCCAGGTTCACCATGGCTGGCTCGGCGCGAGGAACGGGCTGGCAGACCCACACCAGGCAGGGGGGGGCGGGGCCGGATGGGGTGAGGTCAGGAAGACAAAATGGGGGCGGGGATGCAGAGGGTCAAGCAGAGGACCCTCAACCACGTGGGACTGAGCCCTGGCTTACTTGATAAGCTTCAGGAGGCCCAAGTGACTGGATCTGAGGGTCAGGCAAGGGTTGGGCTGTAAGTTAGGGTCTCCGGCCACAGCCTTCTGTGACTTGAAGCCTGGTGGGAGCTTCAGTTCTTCTGATTGCACTGGGAGGGCCCCGGGCAAGGATGTCAGCATGGTGGACACATGGCCTTCCTGCTTGGTTGGGAGCCAGCCTTCCAGGAGAGCATCTGCTAAGGTTTAGAGGGTGCTTCAGCGATGGAGCAGGCAGGGGTGCTGTGGGCTGCATTTGGAGGCTGCACTGATAGGCTTTGGCACTGGGTTGGTGGTGCCAGTGAAAGGTTGCGGTGGTGAGTCGTGTGCTATGCCGGGATTCGTGACCTCCACAGGAGAGGATTTCTATCCAGGGCCAGAGACAAGGCTTGACTACTCAGAGCTTTTTGTGTAGCAAAGTTTTATTAAAGTGTAATAGACATACACTCTTGACAAGAGCATTCCAGAAAAGCATCTATTTCTGCTTTATTGACTATGCCAAAGCCTTTGACTGTGTGGATCAGAATAAACTGTGGAAAATTCTGAAAGAGATGGGAATACCAGACCACCTGACCTGCCTCTTGAGAAACCTGTATGCAGGTAAGGAGGCAACAGTTAGAACTGTTGGTGGTCAGGGTTCCCACCTGACCACCAGCCTCCCAGACACCTGATGGGAGAAAACGACAGTGAAAGACAAAAACATCACCCCAACCTTCACATTATCCTTGTTCATTATTTTTTCAAGCAGGATTTCCTGAGAAAACACCTGGGAGATGAAGACTCGGTGAGTGAGACAGCAGAAAAAAGCAGATGCTGGAAGCAGACCCATTGGGCTTCCCTGGTGGCTTGGTAAAGAGACCGCCCAAAATGCAGGAGACCCAGGTTCAATCCCTGTTTTGGGAAGATCCCCTGGAGAAGCAAATAGCAACCTACTCCAGTATTCTTGTCTGGAAAATCCCGTTGGGAGAGGAACCTGGCAGGCTATGGTCCATGGGGTCACAGAGTCGGACATGGCTTAGCAACTAAACCACCAAACCACCATTCCCATCATGAGGCTCCACCCTCATGACCTCATCACCTCCCAAAGGCCCCACCCCTCAGTCCCATCACATCAGGGCTTATGGTGTCAGCTGCAGTGCAGGTGACCTGGGTTCAATCCCTGGCTTGGGAAGATCACCTGGAAAAGGAAACAACTACCCACTCCAGTATTCTGGCCTGGAGAATCCCATGGACTATACCGACTCTGGGTCGCAGTGTCGGGCATGACTGAGTGACTTTCAGATGTATAGGTCCAATGACTACCCTGGTAACGGTAGAGAATCTGCCTACAATGCAGGAGACCCAGGTTGGATCTCTGAATCAGGAAGATCAACTGGAGAAGGGAGTAGAACCCACTCCAGTAATCTGGCCTGGAGGATTCCATGGACTGTATAGTCCATTGGGTCTCAAAGAGTTGGACAGGACTTTCACTTTATGACTTTTTAAAAAAATTTTTAATTATTTTATTGAAATATAGTTTATTTACAGTGTCATGTTAATTATTGCTATACAGAAAGTGATTCAGTTTTATATATATGTGTGTGTGTATCAATTCAGTTCAGTCGCTCAGTCGTGTCTGACTCGTTGTGACCCAATGGACTGCAGCACACCAGGCTTCCCTGTCCATCACCAATTCCTAGAGCTTACTCAAACTCATGTCCATCGAGTCGGTGATGCCATTCAGCCATCTCATCCTCTGTTGTCCCCTTCTCCTCCCGCCTTCAATCTTTCCCAGCATCAGGGTCTTTTCCAATGAGTCAGTTCTTTGCATCAGGTGGCCAAAGTATTAGAGCTTCAGCATCAGCATCAGTCTTT